ATATATATATATATATATATATATATATAAGTTCTATATATACTATATATAAAATAAATGTAATTTTTATAGGCCTATATACAATATAATAAATACATGTTCATGATTTTTTTTTAGGGTTGTGAGCTGTGACTGAGTAATACACACTAAAATGAAGTCAAGATACAAAAAAGCTAAAAGAATTTTGACATTTTATTACAACAATTTTGGTTTTAAACCACCATATCTTGTGCTGGTAATATTTTTACTTAAATTTGTTCTATATTTATCATAATTCACTCATCATTCAACCACAATGCACAAGCATTTAATATTTATGAATATCTAGATTATTCTTGCGATGATACAAACTTGGATGTTTGATTTTAACTTATCTAATATTACTAATAAAAACATTTTGGTTTTTATTTTGATATAGATCTGGTACGTTACTATTATATTCTGGTATTCTTTACTATTCATACTTTATGTCTTTAAATGTTTGTAGGTTTTGTGGCACGTTTTGCAAACAAGCACTGATGGATAAAATAAACATTGCTGAGCAGCTCCCAAAGTATTTAAATGGTGAAGTCAAGCTACTTACTACAAAGTGTGCTATAAAAGAATGTGAATTAGGAGGTACAAACTATTGTTGTTACATAAATCTAGAAATGATGCTTTTGATATGTTGAATAGTGATAGTTACACAGTTTGTGTTTTTTTTTAACTTAGTTCCTTTTTTGTTTCTCAATTCCAATATTTAGGGTCACTTTTGTATGGACCTTTCAAGGTGCTTAGCCAGTTTGATATATATGAATGCCCACATTCATGGTTCAAAGGTAGTGCTAAATGCCTGCGGCGTGCTGCCTTGAAACAGAAAAATCATTTTATTGTTGCTACACAGGTTAAGTGTCTTTACTTTATTGAAGTAATTTGTATCCCTCATATTTTTTAAATTTTTGTATCTGATCCTTTATTTTCAAGTTTATTAGAGGGGAAAATAACAGCTGCAGTAAATATTAAGTTTGAAAAAAATTCAGAATGGTTGATTAATAATAAATTCATTTAAAAACAGGATGAAGAACTCGCCGAAAGTCTTAGGGAACATAATATCCCTTTGTTACATATTTCACACAACTGTATAAATCTTGAAGCCCCATCAGATAATTCAAAAAAGTTTGCCGAGGAAAAGACAACTAAAAAGCTCCTGTTATCACAAAAACAAGAAGCTACAATTGCTAAATTGAAAGAAGAACTTCACATACCAGAAAATGATAGCGACATTAAAAAGAAGAAAAAGAAAAGAAAAGGTCCAAATCCATTGTCTTGTAAAAAGCCCCAAAAGAAGACAGATATCCATGGAGTCTCCAAAGGAGGTGTAGAAAGTATAAAGAAAAGGATGGAGAAAAAAGAAAAAAACTACATTTGCTTAGTCATGTCAAAAAAGAGATTTTATAAACTTTTAATAAAAGTTTTTTTTTTAAGGTTTTTTTGGTCATTATTCTCTACATGTGATGTTTAGTTAAAATGATAGATACATTTGACCATAAATAAGAAAGTAGAATATAGAAATATAATGTGCTGTGTCAAATAGATGTTTACCATAGAAATTAGAAATATGTAATCAGAATTATGTTTATAAAAAGTAAACATTTTTGTTTACATATTGTAAAGATATAAGATATGTTGATGCCAAAGTCGATATCGATTAGTTAACAAATAAGGTTCCCTTTTTAAACCTGATGGTCCATGGGGAAAGTGAAGTAGAGATCATTTGTTTCTGTGACATCGGTATATGAAAGGGAAAATGTGGTCAGCACTATGCAAAGCCGCCTTTACTTTCCCTGACTTGAGCTAGGTACCCATCAGAGTTGGATGGACAAAGAAACGTTTTAATAACATAAAATGAATTTGAACACACCGTCCCATTTACCTATTAGTGGGCTTACTAATACTGATATATATTAAAAATGATCATTCTAAAGAAATTTTATGGATTGACTTGTGGTATCTAATGTCCGCATATCAAAATTACTATAGGCCTACACAAGTAGTTTTACTACCAGCCTCTTTGGAAACATTCGTTATTCAAATGTGGTTATCTTTAAATTATTAAATGATGCACTGTCAAAACGGACCCATCAAAGCAACACAACTTAATGGGCCATATTAGAACAAACTTGATAAATTGGCCGAAAACAAAGCAACCCAGTCAAAATAGAAGTTAGGGCCCCATGAGGGTGGGGTTGAAGTAACACCAGTTGTGAGGGTGCAAGTTGAAGATACTGCAGCCCTACCAAATGTGATTGTGGCAGTTCTACTTCTACCACCATATCTAATGCAGGGTTGTAGAAAGTTTGATTTTATATATAACTGTAATGCTCCGTCATAAACATACTGTATATATTCTTCCTTATGTAAGCCTGGCACAGTGTGGAATCAACACAAAGGTCTAATTTAATATAATACCGCTCTTTATTTACACATTAAATAAACTCCTACCATAACTACGTCCTAACACATAACTATCTACTAACTCTAACTACAACTAACACTTGACTGCTCCCTACACGTCCCCATGATCTGGGGAAGACTTATTGTCTATGGGAAATGTACTTAATGGCCCAGTGGCGTAGCGAGGTTGGGTGTCACCCAGTGCGGCACTTAATGGTGTCACCCCCCAGAGGCGTAGCGACCCTTCCCGGGGACAAACTTACAATTTTTTATTTGAACCCCCCCTCAAACTTTCGATTTGCACCTTTTAATAGACTATTTAACATTCGAATTAGTCACTTAAGAGGAAGTATCATTTTTCTCTATATATTTTGTTATTTTTTACCTTGGTGTCACCCGGTGCAGTCCACACCCCCGCTATGCCTCTGTAAAGGCCCTTTTGTTTGGTACCTATGATGGGCTCCATTTGTTGCTGGCCTTATTGACTAGTTCAGTTTGGCTGTTTTATCTGGGCCATTTTTAATGACTAATTTAATAATATCCTATTATTTTGAAAATGAAATATTTTGTTAGAAATTACCGTTCTAGAGTTCAAAAACATCACTGCAAATGTCAGTCAAAATAGTGAGCAAAGAAAAAGCTTGTAAAAATTTTGCTTTTTGGGTGTACAGTGTACAAATACATGGTTCCTAGATTTATTCCTTTTGACTCCAGCAAATTGCGTACCATACTGTAAACTGTGTGTGTGTACCCTTACTGTTGTAGACAGTGTCCAAGTTTGTTGTATAGAGTGAATAAGGGAAGCGACTTGTTGAGGGATATTGGTTGTGAGAGGTGTGGAATGGTGGCAATGAAAACAAGGAGGGAGTGTGAGACTGACGACTCACAGAGGTTCAAATTAAAAGTTTTTATCTCCCTTAAGGCTTTCTGAATGAATCTTGCCCCACATCTCATTATTTAATTTTTCATGCACCCAAGCCTTTAATAAACACATTTTGCTATGTAATACTTTAGATTCCTCAAAGCCTTTGGGAATTTTAACTGGTAGAAGCAATGCAATCACAGGTGCATTAGATTAGAAAATGCCCCAGCCTGCTTGTAGTAGTGATTATTTTTTGTCACTTAAGGCTAAGGGACTAATGAGGTCTAGATGTGCCAAATTCTAGCATAATGTTATTGCCTAAGAGTGAATGGGGCAGAGGTATCTAAAAGATAAATTTCCCTCAGAAACTAATACTAGGATACCTATATTTTTGACTATTGAGCATGAGCTGTCTGTATTACTGTCATTATCAACACACTGGTCTCTCTGGTTTTCTCTTTATCTAACATTTCAAAAATTAAAAAACAAACTAACACCCTAATGCTTATAAATTATTACATTGTAAGTTAATATCCCATGTTTATAGAGCAAGTCTTATCTATATCTATAATTCTCCTCTGCGAGCCGTTAGAAAACAAGCTGCAAGCGCCTCCTTACAGTCCCCTCTCTATCGCTATCACTACCACCCCCACCCCACATGGTCTGGTGAGCTGTGGTCACGTTTAATGTTTACAAGTTTAATGTTTACAAACCGTACAGCCAGGTTTAGTGATGGCTATTAGGGGCAGATAATTAAGTTTGAACCGACTTTAAACTTACAGGAGGTAACTAAGAGGAGGCTGCTTTCAGGGGGGGGGGGGGGGGGGGGGGTGTGTGTAGGGGGTTAGTGTTTTAAAGCAAATATTTTCAGTGGCAGCATTGGTACTGTCGAATTCACAAATTATGAATTACTGAAAGTAGAAAATAAATCAACTAAATAGCGGCGTATGATACGCCGCGGGTCGGCTCGTATACTTACAAAACCTCAAGTACTTTGTAAACAAAATAAACAAATCCACAACTTTTAAATTTTATTTACACAGGTAGTGACATTTATTACTGAAATAACCATAAGTCAATTTATAAGCCCTAAAATTGGCAAAGTAGAAAATATTTCTTTTAGTCTTTTTATTAAAATAGTTAAAGGTAAACTAGAAAATACTGATTTCTTGTAAAAAATGTCTAGCTCAAAAGATTTATACAACTTATAAGAAAGGCAAGCCCTTAAATGCTTTAACTGTTCTCAAACAGATACACATGACATTAATAATAGCCCTTAACTTATTTTGTTCACTTACTCTTGTGTGATAACCATGTTTGTAAACTTCCCACAGAAAATTATAGTATTGGATGTCACAAGTCATGTCAAAACTTGCCACACAGAATGAGTATATTCTTGCAGGCACAAAAAGAAAAACTGACCTTATTAGGTGCTAGAAATCTGCTTGCCAGATATCAAATATTGTAATTTTAAATCTGTTTTGGATATATTTCTTTCACTTGCATAAAAAATTACATTTTTAAAGGCAAAGCAGCTGAAAAATAAACTAAATAACAGATGGACAAAATTAATCACAGACTTAGAAGAAGCCCAGCTTCAAACATGGAAGTCACCTTAAAGCAGAATTCTAAAACATGCTCAACATAATTTCTCTTTGTCTAAGTTATAACATTTTGAAATGAAGATTCCAGGTGATAAAGGTTAAGCCTGTTGTTCTTAAAGTGCGCTGTGGTACCATGGCAAAAAAAATTGGTTTAATTTTGACATTTTTTACAAGTTAAAAAAATTACACAGAAGGGGAAAACTATGTTATTAACTGATCTGTAAACACTATTTTTGACATGTCTCATCAATCTTCATTGTAGGATTAATTTAAGTTTTTAAATACAATACCATCTAAAACAGAATTTTGCTATATAAAAAAATATATCTAAAAATAAAAAATTTCAACCATTAGTATGTGTTAATTATTCTGTAATCCACTGAAAACTGAACTAAAGTTAGACAAGCAGATGAATTTCTTTGAAGAAATGTTTTTTTAATATTCTCAAAATTTCTATTCCTAAATTATCTATTAAAAATAAAGTACTGGAGGACATTTTATTGAAAAGTGTTATAATAAATAATGTGAATAATAAACAAAATACAAGCCATGTTAAAGCAATTACTGGAAGTACAAGCTTATTGATAACCAGTCCCAGAGAGTTATACAGAAGCTATTACTTTGATTTCATTCACTTACCAACAAAAAATAAAATAAAATACAAGTGTACTGGTATTTAGTTTTAAATTTATACTCGAAATGCTGCTAGGTAGTGCAATGTACTTAAGTTATTTATTTCCCACTAAAAAGAAATATTTGGTGAGATGGTTACTTTTGGACATATTACCAGTTACAAAAATGTGAACATTACAACTTCAGAAAAACACACCAGCGACACTTAAATACAGACATAGGGTAGAATTATCTGTTTTTGGACTAAATTGTTGAATCCATTCATTCGTGAGTAGCAGATTCTTGTTTATGGGAGTCTTCAACATTTGCACCACAGTTTGTTTTTTGGAAATTTTATACCTATGTACTTATATTTACAAGGTCATGAATGAATGAAGATGATGCAAATGAAAGCAGTTATTTTAGACTTTTTTTTGTAAAAAAAAAAATACAGACTGTGGGAATTCAAATAATTTGTTAGTATTCTTCTTGTTCTCCTTCGAATTCTGGATCATCTTCAGGTGGAGCAAATCCTTCCTATTGATGAAAAAAAGGACAATTTCAGAAGACTACAAAATTTAATAGCACAAATAATCCATGATTTTTAGAAGAAAAAACCCCAATATTCTGTTAATAGAATATTTTCTTTTTACCTGAGAAACAGCTATAAATTTAACATTAATAATAAAGCATGCAACATTATATTTGTAAAATTTAAAAAGCAGCATGGATAAAATTATTAGAATACAATATATTTCTCCTGCATATAATAAAAGTTGACAAATCCTTCCTGTGTGTCGTTTGAAAGCATTTTGAATAGCATATCCCACAAAACCATTTGAAAATTGGATTCCATATCTGTCCATTTAACAAACTAAGGATGAGCTAATGAAAATAACCATGCTTTGCTGCGGAGTCAATTTTAAAGAGCAACTCCATTTTTTTAACTTCAGGATTGGCACAATTTAAGAATCGACAGTGTATAAAAGCCAATTAAAGAAAAAATAACCACCAAATGCCCAATTTTAAAAAGTTATAACCTTGATAGTGCCTGAATCAATCTATGTCAAAGTACTATTGTTGACAAGTTACTTTGAAGAGCCATATACATGATGAGCAAAAACATTGTTAAAACAAAAAGGCTTGAATAGCACACGCAAACCAAAATAAAATTTAGCAAAAATTTATTTTAGGATTATTTTTAATGCTAAAAAAGGCGAAGGGAAATTTCAGGAAGCAGCATTCTAATTAAGCCACATTTAATCATTGCAAGAAATTGTTATGATAACACCAGGATTTATCTTACATCAATTTTCTTGTAAAAGGACATCTTCAAGAAAACAATTCAGAGCACTGATGACTAAAAGGAAAAAAAAGTTGATTGTATTAGATACATTTTTGCGTGTTATTTAATTGGATTGGTTAAATCATTATAAAATGAGAACTTCTTGAGCATGTAACAATGTTTCATTTCATTAATGGTCAACACATAGATTGTACACTGTTACTAACAAATGCACATCCTGAACTAGAAGTAGAGAATCTGACTTAAAACAAGTGGCGGTAAAAGGCTAGTTTGAAAATACAGCAAGACAATTGACATTTTTGATTATAAAAAATTTCTAAAACAAGCTATTTCATTAGATGTGTGAGATTTGTTCTGTTTTTATTTCACTATATGCTAATTGATTTATTTTGATTTTTCATATTTAGAAACTCTAAGTAATCTATGAATTAGCCAAGTAACTATACAAAAACAGTATCATTTAGAGAAAAAAATGACAGTATAAAAACTGGCTCACTAATGTCTATTATAATAGATGGAAGAACTAAATTATGGTGTAAGCATACTAATTATGGTTAATTAGGTCTACTTCTGCAATTATTTAAATTGCTACAGCAAGGTAGAAAGAATCAAGCCACTTAAATTACAAATGGAAGTATTAAAATCCAAGTCCAAGAAAATGAACAGCAAAATAAGATAAACTGAGGTAAGAACCTGGGATCATACTACAGTATAAATGTGGCTTTTGCTCTTAACCAAACTCTTACGGTTATTTATTTTTTCTTCATCAGGCAACCCCAGTTAAATTTTCAGCATGTTGGCACTGTCTTCTTATGATTTCTATGTACAAATTATCCTACAATGAGCTTTATTAAATTATAAGTTAAATACTTTTCAGTTTGTCAATGCGGATCATCACGATTAACATTTTAGAATGTATTAAGATAAAATATACTAGCTCAATTGGTGCTGCTTTTAGTGCCAACAAAAACATTTAAAATCCTATAAATCAGGATGTGGGGTTGCCTTTTGCAACAAATAAAACATCAAAAATGAAAATACACACGCATACCTCAGTTGCATAGAGAACGTCCATTATTTCTTTAATGTGAGTCATCCCTTCATTGTCTTGGCAAATTACCTCAATTTCACGTAATTTGTTAAAGTAAAAATCCCTTTCTTTTTCCAAACCCTCTTTATCAATATTTAACTGTTCAATCTGATAAATGAGTAAAATTATGATTAAAATACAGTAAGAAGTATTTGTGTTCTGGGAAAATCAAGCATAGTTTAATGATGTTTGAACCTAATTATTTTAAAGCAATGCTACCTGTCCTTTTAGTTCTTCTATTACATGATTGTCTCCACCAGGATGGTTTGCTGCTCCGGGAGATCTTCTAATCATATTACTGGCTGGACTTTTATTTGGTTGTTTTACAGCTAAGAATTTAAATGGTCATATATCAAATAAGGTTATTACAAATTTAAAGAACAATAAATGCTTAGTATTTACTTCTAGATACTTTGGATACACTATACTAGAATTTTAATAGCTTAAGGTCAATAATTATTATTGTTTGATCAATTAGATACTCAAAATTTTCACCTCATACAATTTCTATCCAAACCTAATCAGTTTTCAGCGCAAGTTCATAGAATTTATCAATATATAAGCCAACTAATATTAAAATTGAGGGAAATGAATTAGACAAAATGTCTAAATTGTCCATAATTTAGATACAAGTAATTTGCTAAAAAGTATTCTTACTTCTTTGAGGTGGAGGTTGACTTGTTTTGGAGACAGATGGTTTAGCTGTTGGAGCCTTGTTTAATGCACCAGGTTTGGCCACACCCAGTTGTTCCCCACCTCTTGCAGAAACTGGATCATAGTCTTGACCCCCATAGTTAGCATCAAAAAAACGTTTGAACCATTGAACAAACTCAAAGTTGTCTTGGAACTTTCCTTTAACAAGTTTTTCAACAGGAACTATCTATAAATTGAAGTTTTTGGAAATTGTAATAAGCAATTAAGATTCCTAGAGGAATTATAATAAATCTTGTACAATATTTAGATTCTTTTAATAGAAATTTATCAGTTAAAAAAAGGCTAGCAGGCTTGTGTAAAATTTGTTCCACAATATTTATCAAACAACTTTATAACTGAAACCACTAACAAATGACACCCAGAAAACCATCCAATCAGAAAATAATATTTTGTTTAATAACAAACCAAGTGTTTTGAATGCAACATTCAATATTACACAATCTTTTAGCAGTAGAGCCTCCCTCATAAATCTTTAGACTACTTTTAAAAAAAATTGCTATAATGACTTTCTTTTTAAAAAGTTCTGTAATTTATCCTTCAATTTTAATACATTTCTTTGTGATGACTAGCCCATGGGTTTCAAATGCTTGTGGATTCATTTATTCTTATAGTCCTGTAACTTAACTTGAAGTGCTGTTAATTGAAATTAAAATTAATTTAAAAAAAAAAAAAGGCAAGAAACCGGGTATCAGAGTGAAATAAGGGGCCATCCATTTATGATGTCCACAAATTTTTGGGATTTTGGACCCCCCCCCCCCCCAAATCCACTTATTTCCCTTATAAAAGTCCATACGCGTCCGCAAAAGTCAATTTTTTCGGACCCCCCCCCCCCCCCCCCCCACCATGTGGACATCATAAATGGATGACCCCTAATGAAAATAGAGTAAGACAGAAGTTAGTAAGTAAAATAACTCTATATGAATACCTGAAAAGTAACAAAATCTATCAAACTAAAAAAAAAAATTACATATTCCATGCATTAAATTTGGAGTGGAAATAATCAGGTAATTTTAAATACACTGCATTACTTGAGCAATGAATCTTACAATAATTTAATAGCTAAAAAACAACCCCCCAAACAGAAAGTATAAAAAAATTAATATAAATTGTTTTCTAAAGAAACCTTACAGAACAATATAGGTAACACTATAAACTAATAAAATTGCAGCTGAATAAAGAAAATTGCAGGTTTGAATAATGATTATTGTATTAAATTGAAACAATAAGCACCTAAGTCACACATTTCTCTCAATTGAGCACTAATAATTTTAAAACAAAAAGCAAGCATAGGAAAACCATTACAAACTACATTGATTTTTTTTTTTACTTTCAGAATGGAATAATCTATCCATAGTAATATTTGCTGATTTGGAAAGTAGAACAAAACAATTGAAAATAAAAGCTGAGACTGAAGAAAAAATGCAAATTATTATGAGGTTTGCACAGCCAATAGAAATTTTTAACAAGTACAGTCAAACTTCAGATTGTAAGCATTTTGGTTTTTAAAAGAGTGACTTTGTAGTACACAAATATAAAAATTAAGTAAAAGTTTAAATGGATTACCATAAAAGATATAAAAATTAAAAACCTGTAATTTTGATCTTGTTACTGTTGTTAGTTTATGACTGTATTATTTGTCAACAATTACTATTACTATTTGACAGCCTTCATTTGCTTGGCCTCTCAATAACAAGGCAACAATTCATAAATAAACAAGCTAAAAAATTTAAAATTTCATGGGATTTGATGTAAACTATGAAGTATTAATTCAAAAGACATATCTAAAAAAATTAATATTTAAAAGTATTGTAGTTGTATATTTAGTGATGTATCATTAAAGTGTTTGAAAACAACACAAAATTTAATTTGATGACATGTCATCTGGTTAAGGATCAACCAGAGCTTTAATAACATGACATGCGCAGCAAACTGGTTAATGTAAAAAAAATCATATATCATTTTAAAAATTTACTTGTTATAGCTAAAATCACTGTATGTTGAGTAGAGTTTTTATTTTCAGTTATTCAAATACAAACCAATGAGAATTTGTTCACTGAGGATTTTATAGGGTGTGACAATGCATGAAAAAGCCACCAAACAGTAAAATATCTGCACTAATTATTTTCTGTTATCTTTCTCAGTTTCCATTAGCCAAATATTCTATTTTTTACTACATAATTTCGAAAGGAACACTGAAACTAAACAAATTACATCATTTGAAATGCTATTAGGCTTAGAAGACACTTATCTAGCATTATGTAGTGACAAATGGTACACACCAATAATTTTAAACAGCACTACATTAAGTGGACAAGTTTTTAAAAACTTGTCTCTAATGAAACCCAGTTACTAGCAATCTGAAGTTTGACTATTAATTAACAAAACACTACAACAATTTTTCTTGAAGATAAAACAGCACTACAAAAAAAATAATCACAACTACTACTCTACAAGAAAACATCTTGTACAAATAGTATCAAAGAAGCACAGAGTGATCACAGTGAAAGTCTTGGCCAATGACAGGACCTAGCCAGGAACTACTGAATGCATTATGAATTATATTAATAGCATATAAACCTCTGCCCAGTTCCTTAAACATCACAGCATCATAAAATGCTCAGAATTACTAGCAACATATCTTGCCTCAGGCTCTGATTAGGTCCATGTCTTGTTTTGCCATAGACTCACCTTATCCACTCCTAATTTCTGGAAACAGGCTTGCAGTTGCTTGAAATTTTGTATGTACTCATGTTCTAATTTTGTATTGAATTTTACTTTTTTAAGTACCACACTACCTGTAAGACAAGAGAGTGTCAAAGACTAAGGAATTGTAAATCTCAATTCACAAAACACTGACAATAAGTGAAATAGGACCATTCACTTTTAGGCTGACCAGGTCAATGTATCTGAAACAGGTCTAAATCAGGAACAATTCTTCTGATGCTAGATGCTTAGAAATGTTAAGTATTAGTTCTGAAACAAAAATTTGTAGTTAAAACATCAAGAGAATCAAAACAGGCACAACACAGATTATTAAATCTGAACGGATACTATAAAAGCACTTTTAGAAAGTGGGAGCATTTTACACTGTCATAGTACAGACCAGCGGTAAATTTAAGCAATGATCTCAAGCATGCAAAAATAATGTTTTACAATAAAGTTAAATAAGTGCAGTTTAGAAATAAAGTGTGAATTAACTATTATGCAGCCTCACACTAAATGCACATAAAACTTGGTGTTGAATATTGATTGCTGTAAACAACATAACCGGTAAGTTACTAAGATTGTTATTGTTAGTTGCAAATGCTCCCATACACATGCAAGAAATTAGGCAAAAATAAATTCATTGAAAGGCCATCTTACTGTAAATTAAAAGTTTAATTAATTTACAGCACATCAAAATTCACATGAAGAATGTGAAATATGGCCTATCAATATTTAATTCATAATGCATACAAACTTTTCAGCTCATTTCAGAAACTCAATTATAGTAAAATTAATGCTTTAAAAAACTCCCATATCCATTGTAAAATAGAAGAAAAAAGCAAAATTATTTTAACATCTTACTTCTGGTTGCAATGCCAAATTAATAAAAATCAGTTTCATTCTAATGAGCTGAGCAGTCATCCAGTCAAAATAAAAAAGATGGAACAGATGCATAAAATAATCCCATAAAATGGTAAATAGGGGTTGGAGTGTTGGTGGTAGTAGCAGTAAGTTCAGCATTGCAGCCAGTGGCCTCACCTTGTCCACCCCTAGTTTCTTAAAGTTCACTTGCAGGACCTTGAAATTCTGGATGTACTCATGCTCTAATTTTGTGTTGAATTTCACTTTTTTCAAACTTAAACTGCCTGAAAATATCCAAACATTATTAATATGCACTGGTCAATGAATGAAGTTAAAAAAGACAGAGCAGACAATCAAATATGTACCAAAACTTATGACAGTTTTAAGTCTCTTCAATTAAGAAAGCATTTGATGGATAATATTTAAATTCCACATACAGATTCCAGAAAACAAGTGTCTTCCGAGCAATGTTTTATGTGAATTTTTAAAGAAAATCTGATTACTAGCTAATTCCATCTGTAAATGTATAATATCCAGGATATTACACATATGCGTGACAACTTATTCTGCATCATTCTATCCATAACATTAAAAAAATTAAAACAAATTACAATAATTTACTTTCTGTATCTGCACAAAAACATTTTTTTTTCTTACTGAAAATGTATACTAGACAAAAATCAAATATATGATGAAATTGCAAAATTTGCAGGCAATATAAATATTGCAAGAAACATTAAAAAATGTTAAAATGCACAAAAATTAATATTTAAATCAGTATGGAGAACATGCTTTCCTCTTACTGAAAATATGCATTAAAATTACAGTAAAAAAGTTATGATCAAAAAGTTAATATTAGCTACGTGTTTCCTATCTAAATCAAATTGTTAAGACTTAAGACAAATAAAACAATTTTATCTGAATTGAAACAAAAGATGTCACTAAAAGAACCCAGCAGTACTTTGAGCTAGAAATAGAATATTGGTACTGAAATTACATTTTACTTTAGACATATGCAGACAACACAAAATATCATAACAAAGAGTTTGTCAACATGATGCCATCAATATTGTCAAGATTTTGGAGTTTCATATTGACTCCAGCTTTTCTTCTTCTATTAAATAATACTGACGGGGATTTCATTAAAGACGATTAAGCAATACTTGTTAAATGTTATGCACCATATAGCCCAGCTGACTTAGATTTATGCCAGCTTTTCTTTCTGAATTTGTTTCCATAGTTTTGTACACTTAAGAACTGTCTGAAAGGCAGCTGATGTTTGATTTTGGAATTCTCTTTCCTAGTTGGTTTGCTGTTCCCATCTAGTGTCTAATCTGTCAGCTGGTAAGAACTACTATTATAAGGTATGATGTGTGAAATTAACACAATCAAACAGGCTATACAAGTTCAGCCTAAAAATAATATACAATAAATATTGAAATACAGAGTGACTATTGCTGTTGCAGGTAATTCTAGAGGAATAGAAGTTTTTATTTAAAAATTGTCAAAAACATATCTAAAGAGATCTGAAGAAAAGTACTATAAACATTATCTGATCAAATAACATTTATATGTAGAAGCTAAAAAGATAATAATTTAGTTTAAAAAAACGCACAGTAATTGTTAAGACAAATCAGTAATATTTTACAAAGTATTTTGGAGTATTTTGATATCCCATCCATCTGCTAGAATTTAATTGGTCACTTAAACTTAAACTTTGGTGTTTGTAATTTAAGAACATTTCTTTTTAGAATACTAAAAACAAGATTATTTACATGCATTTAAATTAACAAAGCAATCAACACTTACCAGGAAATAGCAAGTCCATAAACTGACAATAGGCTGCACCTAAGAAATTCAAAAGAAAATAGTAACATTCAATTGAAGTTTATCGGCTGAGCTATCTGTCCATCTTGTACATTGAAAAAAAGTAATTACATAGCAAGTTAGGTTTAAAAATTATGGCCTTCTATATAGATTATAAAAATAAAAAGTTACCGGAACATAGTTCTTCAATTTTTGTGTAGCTGGTTTGAAGAGTATCATTAATCCAAGCTATCATATCATGCCGACTAAGATTATTTTCTGATGCATTTGTGCTGTGTACATTCACAGCAGCCATGATATTTGACTGTATTGACGATTATCTGAAATTAAGTTAAATTTGAATTTTAAAGGCAGCAAGCTCTAAATTGTTAGAGTAGTAATAAAGATTAAAACTTGAGCCCACATTTAATTCAATAATATAAGCATCTTCACCCAAAAATATAATATATTCAATTGTTAACTGAAAAGCCAAATTCCTGCTTCAACTTAATTAGTATGACTAAAATATTTAATTCCAAAAAGAATTAATATATAATTAAATTCTAAATAGTGAGTTTAATGCAGATTAAACACATAGTTTCACTGAACCAAATGGTCTACGATTAAAAATTAACCGTGTGAAATCTTAATTAAATGATTTCCTATACCTTAGCCTTACCTGTTCCATTGCAATGTATATGCCTTACAACTAGTTAACATTACATATTAGGGCTAAATTTTAGAATGAAATTAGTTTTAACTAGCATCATGGCCCTAAAAAATTGTGAGCCATTTTAAATGTTGATTTTTGTCTTCATTTGGTCTCAATTTTTAAAATAATTTTAATTAATTAAATAAATCAATTTTAAAAGTTATGACATTATTAATTATACATATTTGAATGTTTAGAAAGAACCAAATAGTAAATTTGTTTGCTTGAGACAAACACTTTGATAATAATAGGGAAAAAAAAAAGCTTTTTTCATCTATTCACTACTACAATTCATTCAATGTTTTTGTTCTGATTGGGATCGCATAGGGAACTAAGGTGCCTACTCTTGTTTAAAAGCGTTCCATTCATTCACAATGGATACAGTTTTGGCGGTCAGGTGACCTGGGTTTGCCCTCGACTTCCGAGAGAGCAATATGGAGTCTACATTCATTATAAAGAGTGCCCTACAATACGGACAATGTGGGCCACTAGATACCATGACTAAAGCTCACCAGGGGATGCACACAACTCCCCCCCCCCCCCCCCCCTGCAGTACTGTAACTGGTGGCTGATAAGAGCGCCCATTTATGCCCGACACATGGGTGTCCACCTCATTATTACGGAGGGTGACTAACGTACACTTAAGGCTGGACAAACCCACAGCATAGCACCGGCATTGTTTACTTGTAAATAACTTAGTTTTAGAAAACAAAGTCACACATATAAAAATACATTATTGGTAATGCATTCTTGAAATCCTCTTAAAATGTTCCATCTGTGTTTCTTCTGAGTATGCAGTATTTATATTTTTTTTAAATTAATCTATTTATTAAGTCAAATTGGCAGAATTAACAAAAATTCCCTATTGATAACTCAAACTATTATTCATTTATTATAATGCCTAATACAAATAAATGAGTAGGCCTATAAGCCTGTCATTGATTAAATGTAGTGCCTTAGAAGAAAAAACAGGCTGATGCAGATAAGTAAAGGGAAACTACAAAATTTAATTAGGACATTATTAGTTTTTAAAATAAAATAGGTTAATGAACTTAAGTATCGTTTGCCATCTTTCAAATAAAACAGACATTGTGAATGTGTTAATTTTGGTGTAAAGGCCTAGATTATTATTAATAATTGGGTTTAGGGCTATGGTAGGACTTTTTCAGTGTCAGCATTGATATTAGTAAGATTTATTTAGTTATCTACCAATAATCCAACATCCCTTTTTAAGAAGTTTCCATTGTTGTGGCAGAAAAAATATGATTTATTTTTAGCTTTTTTTTTATTATTGGTAAAAATGATTATTTGTAATTGTAAGTAAGATGTAATTAAAGCTGAACAGCACACTCAATTTGTTAAACACAATATTTGCAAATAAACACAAACGGAAGAGCATAGACCTTTTACTGAGACATTTAGAACAAGTAGGGCCTATATAAAAAAGGCCTATATCCACTGGTGGTGGAAAATTTCAACACCTTTTTGAAATGTATTTTTAGTAACAGTACTAGGCCTATAGTTTTTGTTTATCCCAATAGCCTACATTTTTTAGCGCAATTTCCATACTGGGATTGCGATTATTAACTCCTCATTTCTGGATGGATGTGTGTCCGCAGCTTTAAGTCGTATCTCCTCCTCAACGAAGCAATATCGAGGACTAGTTCCAAAAGCAAATATGTTAAGCAAGTTCCGAGGATGAACATAGGCCAAAAAAATTCCCGAAATTCCTTCCTGGATTTCCCGGAAAAGCCAAAAAACCTAGAAAAAATGCAGTTTTTGGCCCATATCTCGGCAACCAGACCACTTAGCGACTTGAAACATTTACCAATCGATTCCTGCCATAATTTAGAACAATATTGCCGAAGAGTTTTCAAAAATATCCTTTTGTTTGGTCACAAATTTTTTTTTTAAATTACATAAACACCTACAAACCGATTGTTCTCCTAGCTCGAACGCACCCCAGCATTATACGTCTTTGTGATCACTATCTATTTTTAGATAACATAAGGAAATTGCGCTTAAATTGTCACTAGACTTTTTTTTATTTTAGTGATTGAAAAAAAATACAGTATTAAAACATTTCAATAAAATGAAGACAGGAACCATAAAAAAAACAAGATAATTAAAAAGTCTAGTGACAATTTTAGCACAATTTCCTTATGTTATCTAAAAATAGCTCTGTCGTAGAGTAAATCAAGAGCAGGGTTAGTAAAACCATTGGTTAGTTATTAAAACTTTTTTTATTAATTTTTTTCAGTACTTTACATGTTTTATTTACAATAGAGTTACATGACTAAAAATCATTGTGCGCCTAGCTACCGAACGTGATGGCGCAGCTATTGAACGTGATGACGCGTGTGGTGTGGTTGGATAAAAATGCCTACTAATTCGGTCAAAATTTTAATTAATTAAAAAATTTTTTTGTGACCGAACGAAAGGATATTTTTGAAAACTTTCTTCGGCAATATTGTTCTAAATTATGGCAGGAATCGATTGGTACATGTTTCAAGTCGCTAAGTGGTCTGGTTGCCGAGATATGGGCAAAAAACTGCATTTTTTCGAGATTTTTTTGGCTTTTCCGGGAAATCCATGAAAGAAACCCGGAATTTTTATGGCCTATGTTCATCCTCGTAACTTGCTTAACATAATTGCTTTTGGAACTAGTCCTCGATATTGCTTCGTTGAGGAGATGCGACTTAAACCTGCGGACACACATCCATTCATTCATACATCCATAAATGACGGGTTAATAAACGCAATTCTCCAGAATGGAAATTGCGCTAAAAACATGTTTGAGTCAGTTTATTGCCATGAGGAAAAGAAACTGTTTTTGTTGATTTTTGGCAATGTTGAAATAAATAGCTGAGTTTTAGATCAATTAAGTTAAATTAACTGGTAGGCCAATTTATTTCAGATGACTGTTCTGTTAACTTTTAAATGTTATACTAGGCAATGATAAATGCAATAGATCACAAATATGAGAAAATCTATCTATATATATAATTCTCTTCTTCGAGCCGTTAGAAAACAAGCTGCAAACGCTCTCCCTACCTCCCCACCCCTACATGGTTTTAGTGAGCTGTGTTCACTCTAAATGTTTACAAGCAAAGCCAACGATTTTAAACGTAGGGGGGGGGGGAGGAGGGGGGGAGGGAAGGAAGGGGGGGGGGGTTATGGTCCTTAACGAGCTACTTATAGTGTTTTAAAGAAATATTTTCAGTGTCAGCGTTGGTACTGTCGAATTCACAAATTATGAATTATTGAAAATTAGAAACAACTAAATAGCGGCGTATGTTATGCCGCGGGCCGGCTCGTATATATATAATTCTCTTCTGGGAGATGCTAGAAAACAAGCTGTAAGCGCGCTCCCTACCACCCCCACATGGTCTGGTGAGCTGTGGTTCACGCTAAATGTTTACAAGCAGAGCCGGGTTTTGTGACGACTATAAGGGGCAGATAATTTAGTTTGAATCGATTTTAAACGTGGGGGGGGGGTGGTGGTGGTGGTTAACTAAGTGGAGTTTATTTTAACGAAGGGGGGGGGGGGGGGGGTTATGGTTATCATCCTTAATGAGATACTTATAGTGTTTTAAAGAAATATTTTCAGTGGTAACGTTGGTACTGTCGAACTCACAAATTATGAATTACTGAAAAGTAGAAAATAAACAAATAAATAGCAGCGTATGATATGCAGCGAGTCGGCTAGTTTAAACTATTTTAATTGTACTATAGTGAGCCAAGTAAAGTTCCTTTTTTGAACCAGACAGTCCATGGGGCAAGTGAAGAATAGTTCACCTGTTTCTGTTACCTCTGCATATGAAGGGATTGTGTGGTCAACACTATGCCCAGCCGACTTTTATTTCTCCAAATGTGATTTAGGTACCCATTGGAGCTGGGTAAACTCAGGGAACTTCTACTGAGTTGAACCCTGATTCAAACTCAGAGACTTTTGGGTTAGCAGTCTAGATTCTAGTGCTCCACCCCTGGGCAACACCATCCCTGACTGTAGTGAGGCAGGCTTAAAAAAAAACTTTGCTAAAATAAAAGTTTAAGCCTAATGCACACAAGTTTTATTATCTAGAATCTAGACTAGCCCCTAGAGATAGGCATTTGTTAAAATTGATCTCTTTATTAAGAATGTCTAAGATCTAGAATCTAGTCTAGATTAGATCTTAGTCTCGATCTAATCTAGATGTAGACTTCAATTTTTAGTCGCATTTTGTTACTTTTTATTTTCAGTGATGACTCATCAACTTCAACTCAACTTCTTGAGAACTAGCGAGAATAAAATATCCATCCAGGAAACTACTCATTTTAAGTTAAAACACACCAAATGCAAACGATAGAACATATTTTAATGTATAAATATATACCTAAATTATTAGGTACGATTGCAGGATATATTATACAAAAAATATAATGGGTTCCAACTAGTTTGTGTCGGAGAACTGCTTTACTTTTAGTGTGTGGTCGAACCCGCTTCCTTCCAACCGACAGTCTGTCTGTTCGTCATAAATGATAAGGAAATATAAATTGCAGAAACAGGTAAGATTTCCGTTTGATTTAGATGGAACAATACAATATATCAATGGCGCAATCATTTCGCACAAGCTATATTTTGGTTGAAATACAAATTCAATTGTTAAAAACACAATTTTTTGTTTTCATCAAAGTAATTTTACTTAAACAATTAGCTTTTAAAATCTTTAAATATAGAGACTATATATTTTTTAAACCTTTTCGTTGTGAAAATTGATGTTTTTAATGCTTGTTGATGGTAATGAAAAACTCTCACTACGTTGTTAGAAGCGGAAGAGTGACTTGTAAAAAATCTTCTCTAGTTCTCTATTTTAGAAATCAAGACAAATCAAACAGCAACAAAATTGTTAAATGGAGTGCTTAATTGGGATTCAAGGAAAAGATTTTGTTTTGCTAGCGACGGATACAGTTTCCGCACGGAGCGTTGTAGCGATGAAAGATGGTTTGCTCGTTTTTTTCAGTTGGACTTCTAGATCTAAAACAAAAAAAAATCTAAGAGGCCAAGGCAATTCTAGGCTAAAATATAAAAAAAGGCCCAAGTTGATTAAATTGATAAAGGCTAACTGTTATAATATTAACAATTGATCAGTTTTATTCTAACTAAACTAAACTTAAGTCTAAACTTAACTTTGGTCTAATTCAATAACTTCTGTCTTAAAATTTTAGACATTTGTCTAGCGATGCTCATTAAATTTTGGTAATCTATCGTTTTAGGTACGTAAAATCGCCTGCGGCTAGTAATATACGAAAAAGTTACTTCATCGTCAAGGCTTTAATAGAAGTATATTGTAATATATTTGTGTCAAATATTAGGCGTATAGATAAATGAATAATAAACATAAATCAATGGCTAAATATAGGGTTGTCGGTATCGGCAGAGATCGCGGTAAAAACATGACCCGAAATTGCCCATTACTTTCTGATACCGGGCGCACAAGATTTGGTTTTGCATACTAATAAGTTTTTAATTTATGGTAATTAATTAAGTTTAAAAGGTCATTTCCTAATGTTAAATGAAAAGTAGAATGGTTTTCCCATTGTTTTGATGGCTTAGCGATCTGATTGCACGCTGTCTCTGCTTTGGTCTTCCCCCTGTATAAAGGCTAGTTTCAAATACGTTGGAATCACGATTTTTTAAAAGGTTATTCTAGATGAGAGAAGATAACTGAGCAGACATATCTTAAGTATGTGGAAATGAAATTTGTTTTTGGATATTTTGACTCCGACATTAGATATACTTGTCCAAAGGTAGTCACTGTATGTAGGTCGCGTAGCCACCATTGTTATATTTTTTCATCCCGATCTTCCGGCCTTTCAGTTTGATCAACTAACAACAGCATTCTTATGGAATGTGCAAACAAATCTCCTAATTTTTTATTTCAAAATATATTTACATGCCCATCTTTAATTTTTTTAGCTCTAGTTCTAGTTTTGCAGAATATGTTTTTCCTAAAATCCAATTTTGTCAGACTAGACTGACAAGAGTCAGACCTAGAACTAGGTTACCTGTCTGTTGCTATACACTAGCATTGTGCTAACTGTAATTTTAAGTATTCAAGTTCTACTTACCCTTAGATATAGTTATATGCTGAAAATCAGAATCCATACACAATTCACACATAAAAACATTGATCTGATAACTTCATTTCACTTATTACAAAATGGCTTATATGGACTCTACTTCACCTGCCCAAAATAACAAGGCAGTTATAGACACATTACAGTGTTCAAGTAATTTACTTTAGATTTCTGACTATGGAGTTCTTTCATTCACTGTATTTATATAAAATATTGCTTTAGAAACATTTTCATATTTGCGCAGCAGTTTTATAACAAAACGAGCCGGCCCGCGGCATATCATACGCCGCTATTTAGTTGTTGGTTTTCTACTTTTCAGTAATTCATAATTTGTGAATTCGACAGTACCAACGCTGACACTGAAAATATTTCTTTAAAACACTATCAGTAGCTCGTTAAGGACCACCGGTGGTTAACCTCGTCAACGTCTATATAATTATAATTTGTATCAAATGTATATTATTTCTAACAATAATGCTCGTTCAGTGGCCTTTTTCAGAGCTAGGCCTAATTATGGGCGACTATTAGACTTTATTGATCGGCCGTTAGCCTTTGTAATTGCCGCGTATTTTAAACAATGCTCGTTCAAGGGAATTTTTTTTTCATAATTTTACTTTTTCCACACATGCTACAATTAAATTATAATTAAAATACTAGACTTAACAGTTCATTCCGCAAAAAACAAAAACTAGTTGTTTCTGTGAGGTAACTAGCGTAACAATGACGGCATGATACTAAAAATAGCGGATAGAAATGTCAGCGTGGGTACCTCATCTTCGAGTAAGATTTTGGAAAAAGTAATTAATAATACTGTAAATATACATGATAAATATTGGTCTACATAATGGTTTTAACTTCACTTCCCCACTGGTCTCAATTATTATTAGGTGTCTTTGTTTCATTTTGTTTTCTTGAACTTGAAGATTTTTTAAAGAGATTTTATTAATTATTTTTCATATTAAGAGTCATTTCATCTTATAACCAATTCTTTTTAACTTTAAGGATATAATTGATAAATAGGTTAGAACTACCATATGAAAATAAAAAAACCAATCTGCTGCCCAATTTACTAAAATGTTATTAGTGAGTGTACCACTAATCTAATGATAAGCTTTTGATTCCTAGTATTTTTGCCTTGTCCTAGATAGCCACCTTTAACTTGTAGTGTCACTATATTTTTGCAGACCATGACAAGATGTACAAATTGAGTGATAATCTACTGATGGCTGTTTGTGGTGAAGCAGGGGACAACATTCAGTTTTCAGAATATATTTCTAAGAATGTTCAACTCTACAAGATGAGGAATGGTATGATTAATAAATGGTCTATATAATTTTAAAAATATAAAAGAACACTGGAAAATTATTTCAGTCAAAAACTTTCAACTTAACTTAGCTATAAAGGAATGGATCAAGTACTATTAGCTTCAGACCAACATCACTGCTGTTCTCCACAATGTTCTGCTTTGAGTCGGTTGTCCCCACTAGTGTTCATTTATGTCAACTTGCTTCAGTTCCCGTAATTCAGAAGGTTGTCCCTTTAATCTTGTGTCATTGGTAAAATCTCCGTAGAGGATATCTTTTGTGATTCGGCTGTCAGGCATGCTGCAGACATGACCCAGCAAGCGCTGTCTTCTCTGTTATCATTCCCTGAGCACTAAGGGAGTTGGCTTAACTAGTGACTGTCGCCTCACAAGTTTCCTCCCTGGGGGTCATAGCTGAGTGTCAAATGACAAGGTCGTGAGTTGCTCATCCGTCCTGTTCCCTTTCTTGACTGTGATAATGTATTCAAAAGGAATACTGGCAATACATTTGGTACCACCTCAGTTGCAGACCAGATTTACTCTTGTGTTAATTATTTGTGGGGAGAAGACTTAAAGTTACCTGAGTTGCTTGTGATTATACAAATGTGCTTTTGTTTCTAAACAGGTTATGAACTGTCTGCACATGCTGCAGCAAACTTCACACGTAGAAACATGGCAGAAAGCTTGCGATCATCTGTAAGTATTATATTTCCGAATATCCCCTTTCGTTTACTAACCATGTAACATTAATTCTTAATGCTCTACAATCTGTACTTTACGATATTCAAAATATGTCACATTTCTTGAACAACCTCCACATAGAACATCATAACAAATCTGAACCAACCCCCCCCCCCCCCCCCCCCGTTATATTAATGTTATATTAATCCAAGTTAATTAGTTATGGAAATATTGAAAAAGTTTTAAAACCCTAAAAAAATAACCACATTTCGTCTTACAGAGAAGCCACCTGGTCAACCTCCTGATTGCAGGTTATGATAATGAACAGGGTCCTTCTCTTTATTTTCTGGACTATCTTGCATCACTGAATAAAATGCCATTTGCCATTCATGGTTATGGCAGCCTCTTTGCCCTCAGTATAATGGATAAATACTACCAAAAAGGTAAATTGATTTATTGAGTTGAACTCATTTTATTTCATGGATAGAATTTGATCATTTTTCTTTTATTTATTCCTGACCAATTTCCTATATACATAGCCCAGTTGTATATTTTTGTACAATTTTAGTACTGCAATATTTCCCAATATAGTCACCTTATTCTTTGAAACTGTTTTTATAGCATTTCAAAGTGTAAATGGCTTTTTTTATTTGAACATTTATTTGTGTGTTTATCCAGATCTTGACCTTAATGGTGCCACAGATCTATTGATGAAATGTATTAATGAGGTAAGATTTACCTTTTTTACAATTCTTTTATTGTGACCTACTATAGTGTATAGGTTATATTTTGTTGGTGTATTGTTGTAAACATCTTGTTGTATTATGTCTATGTATAACTGAATTCTATTTTCAGATTCAAAAAAGATTTATAGTAAATCTTGGGAGGTTTCGTCTACGTATTGTTGACAAAGATGGCATCCATGATAGAGGAATGATTTCACCAGATCCTGTAAACAAACCATGATGACAGTTTTCAACATTTTCTGAAGGTTGAATGGTATTGAACTGAAGTATCAAATGGGTGACTGTAAAAGAATGCTTGTGTATTTTTTTTTTAAACAAATTTTTGTTTGTTTTATTAAGTCAGCACATTTTGAAGAAAAAAAAATTGCTACTAAACTTATGATTTATTAAAAGTTATGAATTATTCATTTTTATCTTTTATTTATAAATTTTATCAATTCAACACATTTGCTCTTTTGAAAAATTTAATGTTTCATAAAGCCACTTTCAAATTAAATATTACAATTGACTGAAGTCAAGAAACAAATAGACAATTATTGAAGCTAGAATCAACATGTAAATGATATTTAAAAAAAAAACGTTAACAGGGCACAAGTTTTCTGATGAAAATTGAGAAAAGTTTCTTAGTTCAGTACATAATCCACCAATTAAATTAAATAAATTATTCACTCTTAATAAAATAAGCCAATATAAGTTACATGTCAGCAGTCTTAATCATCTTAGGGTAGGATACATTTTGAACTTGCCCCAAAATGGTGAGTTAACCATGAGTTTTTTTATTTTAAATATAGGAACACCCCTGTCATAGCCCAGCAGCTATGGCACTCTCTGACAGCCCGCTATCGATGAGGTTAAAAAAAAATTCTTTACTCGAAAAGGCTAATACACTAAAAAAACTAAATTTTAAAAAATATTCCTAAAGACAATTTGGTATCTTTCAAGATTTTGTATTCCTATTTCGTAAAGTTTTAGGATAATTGCTTGGCCCGGCTTCCCAGCTGCCAGTTTTTTTGTTGTCATAAAAATCATTACCCTTTGATTCTTCAAGCTGGAGAATTTCTTCATATTGTTTATAATGAAAATAGAAGGCAAACATTATGAAATGTCCACAGGAATATATAGAAATGATCATGGGAAATAAATCTGGATACTGGCTTGGTGGTGGAATAAAAACTGTTGCCAGAAATATGCAGCATGCCATCAGCAAAGAATACTGAAACTGTGGAGATAAATAATATGGAGTTTAACCTACATGAATTTGCTTGTCAAACTAGAACATTTCTTACAATAGCTACACTGCATAAGAGAAGACATTTTTTAAAAAGCCTGACTAACTTACAATTTGCACTACATTATCAGGAACATCTTTAGCAGGTTTAAGAAAATGATTGATGTATATCCAAAACAAACAAACAGTAGCTATGGTTGGTAGAATTAGTCCATCTTTAATGAGTAATGGGAGCATACTGAGGAAAGAAAATTTGCTATTACTGATTTATAACTGGCTCAAAAAAGAATTAAGAATAAAAAAATTTTCTCACACCAGTATTGCAAGTCACTAAACCCATAAGTTTGTGCAAGGCATTTGCTTTTTCCCAGTGCAGTTTGGTTGGGATAACCTACTGTCTCATAATTTTTGGGTAAGCAAACTCATGTTTTACTGCTAGACAACTTCTTCCCCATTATCATAATTTTTTGCAATTTATTCAAACATTTATCAAGGTTTCAGATGTAAGGTAATTAATAAAGATGGCTGAAAAGAACTGTTTCATAAACCTACCTAAACACAGTTATAAGCAAAAACCAAATTATACCCAAAGGGTCTGACTGTAAAACAAGACAGCTGGGACTGCAAAATAAATTAAAAATAATTCATATTTTAAAATATACTTAGTAATAATTAGTATGTTTTAAAAGTATTTTTTTTTCTAAAATCCAGATCTGTAAGTTTTTAAATAGCATTATATTAAATTACCCTGAGTACTTGTAGATAACTTACATAGCAGCTAAAAGAATAGTCTTCTCATGAACATGGAATGAAAAAAGAAAGAACACCAGTGCAGAATTTATCTGAAAGTATACATGACCCATATTTTCAGACTAAAAAGATTGGCTTTTTAAAAATATAAAAAATAAACCACCTCTCATTTTTTTAAACTAGGTTTTAAGTAAAGTGACTGTATAACACAAATTTAAGTTTCTTCAAAAATTAATATACATACTGTAGCAAACTGGAAGTTTCTAATACTCGGGTTCTGGATGAGGTGAAGGAATGATGGTAATAAAAACAGTGATGTAACTGCTAAGCTGTGGAGTATTTAAAGTATATTTCTAAGATAGTAACACTGAATGTGTACATCAAACTAGTTTAACTAGTTAGTATTAAGCAAAAAAATTAAAAATTAAATTTTAAATAAATAAGTTAAGATAAACTATAAACTACACTTGTTTACTTTTTTACAGTAGAGTTAATCAAATGTAAAACAATGGTTTGTCTGTTATTCTAATACGAGAAAAATGGCCCGTTGAGGAAGGATACAATGGGCGCTAGGTTGATAGTGATGTCTATTTTCTCTAAACAAAAACCAAAATCACCACCTATACTTCAAATTTAAACAGAAACGAAAAATGACATTGAAAACTGATTTTTATCCAGAATCTGCATTTTAATCGGATTTAAGCATGATCTACGCGTAGTTATCACGCATTTATACTAAATATAGTCGTAACCATACATCTAAACCATGCACCTTATCTCAATCATGACAAAAGTCGCATTTAGAGTTTTTTTCAGGCAACTACTTAAGAGTATGGGGGCTCCGCCCCCCCCCCCCCACACACCACAAAACATGTCTACCGTCCCATTCAACGAACTATAATTATATACTTTTTTCCCCTCCCAGAAATTCCCACGCCCGCCTCCGAAAATTTCAACACTTTTTAGATTAGAAAATTTCAAGTTCCCCGCTCAGGAGAGGAAAAAGTCTGAAAGAAACACTGGTGTTACGCTTAGCTACTACTCGAAGAATTGCATGAAATAAACTCTACACGCAAAACGCGAAGCCCCATCCGAAAAATTGCATGAAAGAAACTCTGCATGCAAACCACTTTTTAGCATAGACACATTAATTAGGCGGTAATTTTATTATAGAGTATCGATGACGACATTTCTTTTGAGTTGGGGGGAGGCGGCTTAGACGTTCTTTCTCGAGGGTGGGGCTTCGCCCCTATCCGAAGAATTGTATGAAAGAAACTCTTCACGCAAACCAGATTAGATTAGACAAAAGTTGGCTTTTTAATTCAATGTTTACTCGAGAATCAATGATGTCATATTATTTTGTGCACTCTCCCGGCTTTCGACTCTTTTCTATTATGACGTCATATTTCGTTTCCGTTTTACTATGAAAGTTTTTATTTTGCTTTTGTTTTCTCTATAGCGTTCTTGTCAGGTAGATCGATAGATAGATACATACATAGACAGACAGCAAAACTATTAGTATAGATGAACTATGTTTATAAACCTTGATGAATGGTGCACTAGCCATAGCCATTTTCTTTTTGCATTTTATAAGAAATAGCAGAAAAGCAACAGTATATGCTGCACATGCAAACACTGTGTATCCCCCCTCCCCTTACCCCCTCCCCCCACCACCCATGATCTTCGAATATTTTACAATGAAAATTAGTTTAAACAATTAATGATTACCATATTAAAGCCATATCAAACTGTGAAAAAATTTGTTTAAATTTTATGATGACTGACACAGCACACCAGAAATTGGCTACTTTATCCTATGAACAACAAAAAAAAAACAACACAAGATTATCAATATTTTCATTAAAGACTTTGCATTATAAAATCTGTTAAAATAACTACTATTCTTAAATAGAGAAAAGGTTTTAAAAAATTCATAAAAAACGTTTTAATAACAAGCTTTTATGTAATGATGCACTAAAAAGTAGAAAATAAATTATACACTACTATTTAAATTACTATAAAGAAAAGCGTGGGTCACTTTAGTACTTTAGTACCTATTGGATACCTTTAGTAATATTTGAGAAGAGACCCACGCTTTTCTTTATAGTAATTTAAATAGTAGTGTATAATTTATTTTCTACTTTTTAGTGCATCATTACATAAAAGCTTGTTATTAAAACGTTTTTTTATGAATTCTTTTTCAGTACTTTACATGTTTTATTTACAATAGTGTTACATGACTAAAAACCATTGCGCGTCTATTGAAAGTGGTGGCGCAGCTATTGAACCTGATGGCGCAGCTATTGAACGTGATGACGCGTGTGGTGTGGTTGGATAGACATGCCTACTAATTCAGTCCAAATTTTAATTAATTCATTAAAAATTAATTAGGCATCCAATTAAGTCAAATTTAATTTCAGATTGCATTGTCTTCATGTCTTGACCCACGTGTCAAATGTGAATCGTATCGGTCAAGTAGAAGTGTCCGAATTTTCACTCCAGCGTTTTGATCTAGACAGACTGACGACAGAGGAAGTGAGTTAAATAAAAGCTTGTAAAAAGGGTTTAAGTACAATAAGTCAAACATAATTAAGGTGGGTGGCCATAAGCTTCATCCTGCAGTCATTGTAGGGTTATTTTGGTGATTGGGGAAGAGAAAGGTTAAAATCATTTAGTAAAAAGTGATGTTTATAGATGACCCATAATGACAAAAATTCATTATATATCTGATTCAAATTAAAATAATAATTTCAGCATAAAAAATTAAGCCTACATTTGTTTTCAATGCTAACCTCATAAAGCCCTCTGTTTACTGGAAATAATCTTTGCAGTACAGACAAAGCAGTTTCTTTACTTTGTAAAAATGGAGACCAAATGACAACAAAAGTAATGACCACAACCATGGCAAGTGATGTAAATTTAAACATTCTGAGGGAAAAATTCTTGAATTAGTAAAAACAATACATCTTTTACAATAAAAAAACAACAAAAAGCAGTAAACTTAAATACTTAAGTTTGAGTAATAATTTAAAGTAATGTATTGCAGTTTTATTTAAGAATTTCTTTTCTGTGTCTAGATTTAATTATTTCAAAAAGTATATTTTTTTCTTTAAACTTTATTCTTACATTTAATTTCTGATATAAATCTATAGTCTATCAATAAAGAGAATAAAATTTTTTTTTATTGCTCTTAAGTGATTTTATATATCAAAACATTTGCATTCAATAAAGCTGAAAAAAATTAAAATTTTAAGTAAAGTTAAAAAATTAAGGGAGATAATATAATTTGTCATAATTGAAAACACTTTTCTTACTAATAAAATATTTACCCTTGTGATATTGGCTGTTTGATTAGAGATCCAAATAGGTAAGCAAAAAATGGCAGTGCATGATACAGCTCCATTTGCTTGTAGTTGAGAGCCAGACAGAAGAGTGCAGATGCAAAGAGATCATATTTCTTAATTAGGGCCAATGTAGCTAATACAAAAAGGCTCAGACTTACATTATTATATCTTGGTGCAAATCAAGGAAATTCAACAGCTGGCATTTAATATCAAAAAGTTACAGGACTAAAATAGGTTAAATTAGTTTAATTCTAAGCAGAGTGCAAAGATAACTAATGTTATATTGTTATTAGCGATCCAGATATAATGGAATAAATTACAGGAGTTGCTGTTCATTTAATTATTGTATTAAACCAAACATTTTTACAGTTAGTTTTTAAGGTATAAAATTAAAATGTACTCACTTTTAGGCTTGAAATAAAAAAAAACTGTTATGTGTAAACATTTGAGGATATGACATATTTAAAGACCTCAAATCAGCCCTATTGCTCCAGGGTTCAGTTCTAATAAAAAGGATACTGAAAATGCCCATTGTCTATCAGAATCAAGCCTGGATATCCAAGCATGACTATGATGTTTGTAAGCTGGAAAAAAATGGTGAACAGTTTTAGAACTAATTATTATTCACAATAATGAAAGACATCTTCTGTATCTTATCTATGTATAAATAAAATAAATTCATAAAATTGTGAGCATTTTACTTTACTTAAGGTTTAAAAAAAGATTCTAAGTACACTTGGGTTCTTCTGAGCAGAGCTTTTGATCTTTTTGAGTATGTCACTTACTATCTCAGTTTCCCCTTCCTGGTGAGATTTATGCATCATAAAAAATGCCGCCACAGTTGGCATAAGAACAAGTATATCCATTACAAGGACTGAAAAATAAAACATTGGTCATTTTTTTTAAATGGATGAAATAAAGTTATGACAAGAGCATAAATCTGTTTACAAAATATTAAAATTCATGAGGGTATGAATATTTATTCATATATTTGTTTATAACCAGCTTTTTTCTAACTCAACCCCAATTCTATGTCAGGGTAGAATCTTATAATCAAAATTATAATTTTAACAATAAATATTTTTCTTACCTGTTATTCTCATAAAATATTTGACATTTGTTCCTTCAATTCCTCTTGATTTCTCCAACTCAACAAATGAAGAGTTTACAATTTGAGCTCTGGGTTTAGTAGAATATTTTTTTAAGCATGAGTCTTAATGTTTACCTAAATTCTAGTAAAATTTTTAAGAATTCTTTTACAGTTATTAGTTATTTTAAAGAGGAGTATACCTTTCCAATAACTATGATAATGTACTTTACTAATAAGACTAATACATTAATACAGATTTTTAACTAACACCAATTTAAAATTAATTTGGTTTTTTCATCTATTTAGCAATTAAAATTTGAGAAATTCACAACCTTTCATTTAAAAAAAAATGCTTACATTTTCCCATTTATGAACATATGATAGGCAGTAAGGGGTGGATAATCCAAGCCCCAGTATTGCAGATCATTATCTGATGTGTTTTTGTACCTATTCAAACAGTTAAAAATAACGAATTATCAGAAAATATCAGAAAATAAAATTAATTAAAAATTAGATAATTGAGGTAATTTTATCATTTTATGAAGTATGTAGGCCTATGGCCTACTATCACGTCTTGGAAAATTGAAAATACTGACTGGGTAGGCTAAAGAAAAAGATTAACTACTACTTCAAGTAGATTTTAGAATTTAGATAATAATACTAGTTTGGTTACTACTAGATCTACATCGAACTGGAAGCTCTATTTCAGATAATGTATTGTAATCTGATAGATCTAGTAAAATAAGGACTGGGTCTCATCTATAATCTATAGTTATAGTATTTAAATTTTAAGTACTTATGAAACGTACCACTCATTAGTGGGGAGATTAACAGTTATTTCCATCCAATGTCTTTGTGCTTCAAAATCACCATACATTGGGGGTTTATTTTCTCCTGCAAAACAAAAGCAATTTAAAAAAAAAAAAAGCTAGTACATTACATCACGTAACAATATGAATGAATAGATAATAGATTTAGTCTAGAGTCTAGATTCTAGCTAGTCTAGATCTAGTATAGCTAATCTAGTCTAGATAGAATCTAGAAAAATCTATCTAGCTGCTAACTAACTTGGGTAATCTATCATTTTAGGTGCGTAAAATCGGCCGTGGCTAGTAATGTGCAAAAAAGTTACCTCATTGATAAGGCTTTAAACTTTAATAGAAGTTTTATTGTGATATATTTGTGTCAAATATTATAGATGACTGAATAATAAATCAAAATCAATGATTAAGTATATCGATATAGGCCAGAAATTAACTTTAAATGGTGGTGTTTGCTAGCAAGATTTGCTATATATATAAACAGCAGCCATCTGTAAAAATAGTGTGGGTTCCCCTGAATCTCCCACCATTTAGATGGCTGCTAAAGTAAATGAGTTTGGTTGCATCTGATGACAACATCGCTAGTCTTTATTTATTACTACAAAGTTTTAATACAACATTTGTTTAAAAACAGGTAGGCTACATAAAGTCATAAATGAATCTTTGAAACATTTTTGTAAATTTTAAAACATAAATCCTCATAAAATGTTAAAAATAATTACTAAAATTTAAGGAGTCACCTTTTTTCACATTACTAGTCTCTGCCGATTTTACGTACCTAAAACGATAGATTACCTAACTTGACTAAGAGGGCATCCATAAATGATGTCACGCTTTTTAAAATGATTTTTACCTCCCCTCCATCACACGTTGTCTTAAAAAGCCAGATTCCCCTCCCCCCTAAAATGACGTCACACCTCAGCCTACAAACCCCTTCAAAATTGCTGTAGAATTTTTCTTAAAACATCGATATTTTTCCAAAATCTTGAGTATTTTGATTAATTCCTATTATAATTTAATATTGAATTTATTAAAAACTGTTTTCTAAAATGCAAAATAACGGCTAAAACTCGTTTTCTAACATTGCTTTTTTATAATGCAAAAAAGTGACTTCACACCATCTGAACCCCCACTCATCACACCGTCACAAAATTTAAATAATTTAAATTATTTTAAAATTATGGACCTCCCCCCTCCGAGTGTGACGTCTAGAATTCTAATCTCATTCTAGACACTAGAGTCAGACTTTCTACTTTTATATTTATAATTTGATAGTAATTTTTATTAATTTTTATAGGCCCTAACACTCTCGGACTCTCAGTCTCAGAATTTCTGGTAATCTATCGTTTTGGGTACGTAAAATCGCCCGCGATTTGTAATGTGAAAAACAGGTGACTCTTTAAATTTTAATAATTATTTCACATTTTGAGGAGGATTTATGTATTAAAAAATTCAAAAATGTTTCCTTGATTCATTTATGTACCTGTTTTTAAACAATTGAATTAAAACTTTTCCGTAATAAATGAAGACTAGCGATGTTTCCAACAGATGCAACCATGCTCATTTACTATAGCAGCCATCTTGTCTAAGTTTTATTTTTATAAGCTTTTAGCGCCAGATTCAGGGGGAAGCCACTCTATTTTACAAATGGCTGCTGTTTATATAGCAAATCTTGCTCTCAGACACTGCTGTTTAAAGTTAATTTCTGGCCTATATCGATATATTTAGCCATTGATTTAGGTTTATTATTCATTTATCTATAATATTTGACACAAAAGTATGACAATATACTTCTATTAAAGCCTTGACAATGAGGTAACGTTTTCGTACATAAATAGCCGCGGGCGATTTTACGTACCCAAAACGATAGATTACCGAATTTCTGTTCGTAGTGTTCAGTGTTTCTTGACTTTAGTTTCTAGTAGACTAAGATTCTCTAAATCAGCTAGATCTAGACCTAGACTACGTTTTAAGTATTTTTTTATCTGTCTACTTACCTGAGTGACCCCACATAGAGACACATATTCTAACCGTTGAAGCAACTACCAATCCAAGTACAAGCTGGATATAAAAGTTTTTTGAATATTTATAATACGTGGAAAAGTCCATTTTGATTCTAACGTAAACATCCGTTATCGATAACAGGTGTTAGTTTTTAGTAAAAGTAGAAGCTAAAGAAACCGCGGCACAAATTTAAAAACTAGATCACAAAAGATAGTCTAGATTAGTTGCGAAAAGAGACTAGAAACTTAATACCCCCCACACCACATACACACACTGTCACTGTCACTGATGTGGGTTTTATTAATCTAATGATTATTTTGACTATCGAAACATATTCGACATTTTAAAAAGTATACACACAGTGTAGGCTATATTTTCAATATAAACTTTTTTTTTCTATTTTGTCAGAGGGGTGGAGAGGGGGGGGGGGGGGGGAGAACGAGAAACAACACAACGAAAAATGAGAACAACTTTCCAAAAGTTGCTGGCCACACCACCATACAAAAGGATTAAATGGTGTATAACATATGTATAACATATTCACAGATAGACAGACCAGACACATTCGTTTAACCTCTACAAGAATTGTCGACACTGGTAAAAGTAAAAGAATATTGTACACAGGACAGGTGTGTGTGGGAGGGGGGGGGGGTGTTGAAGGGAGAAGCTATAATTTTTACATTGTCAAATCTGGCGTCAGACTGTTAACTTATTGAAATTACTGTTATCAAAAGTTGCTTGCCCACCTTAAAGTCTTTTATGTAAATCAATATTTTATGTATCAATGGATAAAACTTCCGTTTATAACAAGCTATTGTTTAATTTGGTTCCTCTTATCGTCCATTCTTCATTGGACGGTAACGGACCGCTTTCGTCCACATCTGGCATATGGGTCAAGACCACATAACAAAGAAATGTGATATAAAGTTTGTCTTCAGAATAGATTGGCTCGCTATATTATGTAGTGAATACATTTGGACCAACTGAAAGTTAATGAGCGACAAACACTTTTCTTTTCCTTGATTTCAATAGCAGTACATTAGGGGTTCAGTGGGTACGTAATTCGTACTCCCTAAAAATAAAAAAAAATTAACAATTCTTCAAGTCAGAAGCAGTTTATTTTTACTTTAAACTTTTATTGTAAACAAAACAGAAAAAAAATCATGATTTCAATGCGTGGTTATTGAAAGGCAAGCAAAGTAATTAATACAAATTAATAGTAAGGTCCTAATTTCACGTGTGTCCAAATAGTTCCATTTGCGAGTCAAATAGGTACTAAAGGGTGTAAAGAATTTCTTTTGTACTCATCCTAGTAATAGGCATAAGCTATCAAACAATCACCAATTTATTCTACACTTCTATACAGAACATTCATTGGCATAGTTTATATACATACAATTTTTGCGAACCATTTTAAGCAAATGAGCATTCGATATTTACACAAGCACTATCTAAATTCTTTAAGGCCCGCGTAGCACACGAAGCTGTACCAACGTTATAGTTTGCTGGATATTTTATGAGACTGCTTTGCAGAGTTTCTTCCAGGCATCTTTTCGGGGGGGGGGGGGGGGGGGGGGGGTTAGTCGTCGTCCCCCCCCCCCCTCGAAGAAAGTCTACCGCCCCCCTCGAACGAAATGAAATTTATATAGAAAATAAAAAACTTTTAACAGTGACCCCCCCCCTCCCCCGGAAAAAAAAGTCTGGAAGAAACACTGCTGCTTTGTCCTGTAGACTAGCACTATAATTCTGCTGCCAATTTTCATCGTGTGACTATTTCTCAAAACTATTGCTAGTGGTAAAATCTGAAGTTTATAAGAGCTGGGTGCTAATTGAGCTTTCTTTTTCGCCTTATATTTATCAAAATTTTGACATGTAATGGCATGGTTGATTTTTTCACTGGAATATACACTAGATGAGAAATTGTTGTCTCAGATAGTGTTGCAGATATCAGAGGAAATGGAAAAACTAAATGTTTTTGTGAAGAGCATTTGTGAATCAAAAGTTTAACGTATCAACCAAGTAGGCTACAATATTAGCATCTAAAATATACACTGGCTGGGTAAAAAGTACCACAAATGTCTTATTCAGTTAATACGGTACCGGCATAGGGGTCATCCATAAATGACGTCACGCTTTTTTTGACGATTTTTACCACCCCCTTCCCTCCGACACACATCGTCACAAAAAGCCAGACTCCCCCCTTAAAATGACGTCACACATCAATCTACCCCCTCCCCTCAAAATTGCAGTTGAATTTTTCTTATAAACATCGATATTTTTGTAAAATCTTGTCTGAACTCTGTCAACAGAGTATTTTTTAATCAATTCATATTACAATTTATTAAAATAGTTTTCTAAAACGCAAAATAACGGCTAAAACTAGATTTCTAACATTGCTTTTTAATAATACAATCCCCACACATCGTCAAAAAATTACGGACGTGTTGTGTGACGATGGGGAGCGAAGGAAGCAAAAACTTTTTTTTAAAAGGGTGACTTCAATTATGAATGACCCTTAATTTTTAAAAATTAAAAAAAAAAAACACTTTCTAAAATCTAAAACATTTATTGCTCGTGTTATAGTAAAAACATTAAAAGATAAGCCTATATAATGCAAACAAACGTTTTAACAGGTAAATTACAATAACAAATATAGTCTGTGTGATTTACAAATAATGTCTAGCATACAGTATTAAGTGTTGTAACAATCACATTTCCAGTTTTAAAATATAGCCGGGTCATTAAAATACCAAAGATAAAAGTAACAGGCAGCAGAAAGAACCACGCAGCCAGCACAGTCAACTATGGAACCAAGACAAACAACTATGGAACCAAGACAAGCAACTATGGAACCAAGACAAGCAACTATGGAACCAAGACAAACAACTATGGAACCACGACAAACAACTATGGAACCACGACAAACAACTATGGAACCACGACAAACAACTATGGAACCAAGACAAGCAACTATGGAACCAAGACAAGCAACTATGGAACCAAGACAAACAACTATGGAACCAAGACAAACAACTATGGAACCAAGACAAACAACCAGGGAACCAAGACAAACAAGTATGGAACCAGCAAAAATAACTATAGAACCAGCAAAAATAACTATGGAATCAAGACAAACAACTATGGAATCAAGAGAGACAACTATGGAATCAAGAGAGACAACTATGGAAGAGAGACAACTATGGAACCAAGAGAGACATCTATGGAACCAAGACAAACAACCAGGGAACCAAGACAAACAAGTATGGAACCAGCAAAAATAACTATAGAACCAGCAAAAATAACTATGGAATCAAGACAAACAACTATGGAATCAAGACAAACAACTATGGAATCAAGAGAGACAACTATGGAATCAAGAGAGACAACTATGAAAGAGAGACATCTATGGAACCAAGAGAGACAACTATGGAACCAAGAGAGACAACTATGGAACCAAGAGAGACAACTATGGAACCAAGAGAGACAACTATGGAACCAAGAGAGACAACTATGGAACCAAGAGAGACAACTATGGAACCAAGAGAGACAACTATGGAACCAAGAGAGACAACTATGGAACCAAGAGAGACAACTATGGAACCAAGAGAGACAACTATGGAACCAAGAGAGACAACTATGGAACCAAGAGAGACAACTATGGAACCAAGAGAGACAACTATGGAACCAAGAGAGACAACTATGGAACCAGCACAAACAACTATGCCAGCACAAATAACTATGGAACCAGCACAGACAACTATGCCTACTATGAACCAACACAAAGAACCAAGTAACCAGCAAAAGAAACACGTAATCAACACAAACTAACCTACTAGAAATACAGATTTTGGAGATAATTCCCTTAAATAGTACAAATTTGTAAAATCCACCTAACGAGAGCTAGATTTTTACAATGGGAGAAACAAAACTAAAACCACCTGAAATTTGAAAATAATAAAAGGGAGATCATCATTTCAAACTAATCGCACCCACTGAAAACAGTTCTGCACCTTAAAAGATTTAGAGATCTTGTAGAAAATAGGGCATTTAAAAAAAAACAATGTTCAATAATTTTGTTTGTAATACTTGTACATCGTGTTACTATACACTTTTAATAACTAATACTGAAGTACTGAGCGAAATTTCATGAGAACGCAATAATAATGATAGATTACAAATTTTAAAACTAAATATTTCATTTGTTAATTGTAAATTATTGACTCAGAATCAGAGATTGAATGGAAATTTTGCTATCATCACTGCAAGCATCTAATCTGATTTCGTCTAATATAAGCAGGGTACACATGACATCAGAGATTTAAAGTTTAATATTACCAGGGTAAACATTACATCAGGGAGCTTTAAATGCCGTGTGACGAGGCGCTGATGGTACGCTTTGACTACGTCATTTTGTAAACATCGTGGACTGTACTCAGAGGACAGGTAAAGTCACCCAGTTGTAATGTTATAGTGGGTGGATCAAGCTAGACAATTATATGCTGCACATTTTATTTTTACTTTGGGTGGGATACTGCACATCTATATTATGGTGGGTGGGGAACACTGAATCAGCATGTACATTGTTATGGATAAGTAGACATTTAACAAATGAAATTATCTTGTTTTAACAATTTGTTTACAAGTGTATGTGAGAAAGTGGTTGGAAGTGAAAAAGTGGTTGGGATATTAAAGTGGTTGGGAATGCAGGTAGGTTCATTAAAGGACAATACGCATTATGTAGACAAAGCCAAAAAGTGGCAACACAGCATACATGTATAGTAACAACACACAGCATACAGGTATAGTGGCAACACACAGCATACAGGTATAGTAGCAACACACTAGCATACAGGCAACACACAACATACAGGTATAGTGGCGTCACACAGCATACAGGTATAGAGGCAACACACTAGCATACAGGCAACACACAACATACAGGTATAGTGGCAACACTAGCATACAGGTATAGTAGCGTCACACAGCATACAGGTATAGTGGCGTCACACAGCATACAGATATAGAGGCAACACACTAGCATACAGGTATAGAGGCAACACTAGCATAGAGGTATAGTAGCGTCACACAGCATACAGGTATAGAGGCAACACAGCATACAGGTATAGAGGCAACACAGCATACAGGTATAGTGGCAACACACAGCATACATGCAACACATAGCATACGGATATAGTGGCAACACACTAACATACAGGCAACACACAGCATACATGTATAGTGGCATCACTCAGCATACAGGTATAGAGGCAACACGCATACAGGTGTAGAGGCAACACAGCATACAGGCAACACATAGCATACAGGTATAGTGGCAACACACAGCATACAGGAATAGTGGCAACACATAGGTATAATGGCAATACTAGCATACAGGTATAGTGGCATCACCCAGCATACAGGCAACACATAGCATAAAGGTATAGTGGCATCACACAGCATACAGGTATAGTGGCATCACACAGCATACAGGCAATACATAGCATACAAGAATAGTGGCAACACACAGCACACAGGTATAGAGGCAATACACAGCATACAGGTATAGTGGCAACACACAGCATACAGGTATAGTGGCAACACACAGCATACAGGTATAGTGGCAACACACAGCATACAGGTATAATAGCAACACACAGCATACAGGTATAATAGCAACACACAGCATACAGGTATATTAGCAACACACAGCATACAGGTATATTAGCAACACACAGCATACAGCTATAGTGGCAACACACAGCATACAGCTATATTGGCAACACACAGCATACAGGTATAGTGGCAACACACAACATACAGGTATAGTAGCACACAGGTATATTGGCAACACTAGCATACAGGTATAGTGGCAACACAGGTATAGTGGCAATACAGGTTCAGTGGCAACACAGGTTCAGTGGCAACACAGATATAGTGGCAACACTAGCAAACAGGTATAGTGGCAACACACAGCATACAGGTATAGTGGCAACACACAGCATACAGGTATAGTGGCAACACACAGCATACAGGTATAGTGGCAACACACAGCATACAGATATAGTGGCAACACTAGCAAACAGGTATAGTGGCAACACACAGCATACAGGTATAGTGGCAACACACAGCATACAGGTATAGTGGCAACACACAGCATACAGGTATAGTGGCAACACACAGCATACAGGTATAGTGGCAACACACAGCATACAGGTATAGTGGCAACACACAGCATACAGGTATAGTGGCAACACACAGCATACAGGTATAGTGGCAACACTAGCATACAGGTATAGTGGCAACACTAGCATACAGGTATAGAGGCAACACACAGCATACAGGTATAGTAGCAACACTAGCATACAGGTATAGTGGCAACACACTAGCATACAGGCAACACACAACATACAGGTATAGTAGCGTCACACAGCATACAGGTATAGAGGCAACACACTAGCATACAGGCAACACACAACATACAGGTATAGTGGCGTCACACAGCATACAGGTATAGAGGCAACACACTAGCATACAGGCAACACACAACATACAGGTATAGTGGCAACACTAGCATACAGGTATAGTAGCGTCACACAGCATACAGGTATAGTGGCGTCACACAGCATACAGATATAGAGGCAACACACTAGCATACAGATATAGAGGCAACACACTAGCATACAGGTATAGAGGCAACACTAGCATACAGGTATAGTAGCGTCACACAGCATACAGGTATAGAGGCAACACTAGCATACAGGTATAGTGGCAACACACTAGCATACAGGTATAGCGCAACACACTAGCATACAGGTATAGCGCAACACACTAGCATACAGGTATAGTGGCAACACACAGCATACAGGTATAGTGGCAACACACAGCATACAGGTATAGTGGCAACACATTAGCATACATGTATAGTGGCAACACTAGCATACAGGCAACACATTAGCATACAGGTATAGTGGCAACACACTAGCATACAGGTATAGTGGCAACACACTAGCATACAGGTATAGTGGCAACACACTAGCATACAGGTATAGTGGCAACACACAGCATACAGGTATAGTGGCAACACACAGCATACAGGTATAGTGGCAACACTAGCATACAGGTATACTGACAACATCTGACAAATATGCAGATATAGTGGCAACACACTAGTAGCAACACTCAGCATACAGGTATAGTGACAACACACAGCATACAGGTATAGAGGCAACACACAGCTACTTTATTCACTGCCAATAGTCAACGACTAAATAAAATAAATTAAGTGACAAAAAGTTTTGGAGATATGAAATCTCAATGTGTTTTCAGGGGATTGTTAAAGATGGAGAGAAATGACATGAGCCAACTGAATGACATGAGCCAACTGTAAGACATGAGCCAACTGTAAGACATGAGCCAACTGTAAGACATGAGCCAACTGTAAGACATGAGCCAACTGTAAGACATGAGCCAACTGTAAGACATGAGCCAACTGTAAGACATGAGCCAACTGTAAGACATGAGCCAACTGTAAGACATGAGCCAACTGTAAGACATGAGCCAACTGGATGACATGAGCCAACTGTAAGACATGAGCCAACTGTAAGACATGAGCCAACTGGATGACATGAGCCAACTGGATGACATGAGCCAACTGTAAGACATGAGCCAACTGGATGACATGAGCCAACTGGATGACATGAGCCAACTGGACGGCATGAGCCAACTGAATGACCTAACTGAATGACATGACCCAGCATAATTCTGCCAGCCAAACACCACCATTAGGAAATGTCTGGATTGAGAGCTACAGAGAAGATCAGAAAAAAATTTGGCAAAGTTTACAACAGAATTTAACAATAGTTAAAGAAACATTTAAGTGAAATCATTTATGGGGAAAACACTGTTCAGACATACAAAAATATGTTCTTGAATGACTTGATTACAACTTGAATTCATGCTGTTAAATGGAAAATGTTTCTTGTGCAAGGGACAACTTCAAGGGAGTTGGTTCAAAACATCAGAGTTTAAAATTTTGTTCATTTCTAAACACTACGGGCCATTTCTCATTTTTAAATATGAATCACAGGTTTAAAATAAATCTGATCTGATCTGCATGAAATTAGTTGAAAACCGTATAGCATCACTTCAGTTGAAAAGTTTGCCGTTGCTGAGACTTTAGTAGCCTTCTGTTAAGTGTTGTAAATTGGATATTCTCTGAGTGGTTACCCTAGTGCACCCCTGGTGGTCTCCCCTTGCTCCAGGGCACCCCTGGTAGTCTCCCCTTGCTCCAGTGCACCCCTGACTATCTCCCCTTGCTCCAGTGCACCCCTGACTATCTCCCCTTGCTCCAGTGAAGTCCTGACTATCTCCCCTTGCTCCAGTGAAGTCCTGACTATCTCCCCTTGCTCCAGTGAAGTCCTGACTATCTCCCCTTGCTCCAGTGAAGTCCTGACTATCTCCCCTTGCTCCAGTGAAGTCCTGACTATCTCCCCTTGCTCCAGTGAAGTCATGACTGTCTCCCCTTGCTCCAGTGAAGTCATGACTGTCTCCCCTTGCTCCAGTGAAGTCCTGACTATCTCCCCTTGCTCCAGTGAAGTCCTGACTATCTCCCCTTGCTCCAGTGAAGTCATGACTGTCTCCCTTCATGCTCAGTCCTGTTGGTCTCCGTTTCTTCTTCATCAAGCAAGCAACACCTGTGGTTTGCAAACAAAAAATGCTACTATAAATCAGTTAAATCTGGTATTAGAACAATACATAGGTTAATCTTTGATGAAAGAAACTTACAAACTGCTTG